ACTTTTTAACGAAAACAACTATTAAAGGCACTTTACTTAGGGAAAATTTCACATTTTGAAATTTTTTGGACGCCCGTATGTTTTATTACATATTTGAATACTGCCCATGGCTTCCCAAGATAAGCAAAACATTGTATCAAGAATAACTTTTTCTCGAAAAATCAACAATAAAAAAGTTTACAAGAGTGAGGTACACCGGGGGTACACACTAGTTTTTAATCGACCTTTTCTTTTGAGAAATTAATAAAACATCTAAAAATTCAAACAATCACAGCTACTTAATGAGAAATTAAAATATGGTATAGTTATTTAGTTTTTAAATAATTTCCTAAGCCAATTCCCCATTTCCCAATTTTTTTTAGGGTGGAATAAATTGTATATCTTTCAAAGATAAACGAAAAGCCTTGTTAAAAGCTTACTTAACTGATTTGTGCTTTTACAGGACTGAAGATTTTTCTGTTACTCAATATATTAACTCAAGTGTTGTTTTGTTGAATTAGTCACAAAAATTAAAGGATAAAAATGATTATTCAAAGGCCTTGGCAAAAAAGTGATCGCAGAATAGCAATAAAAAAAGCAAACTGAAGCTTTATGTTTCTAATTTCAGGATCTGAAAATCAAAAAATCATAAGAAAACCAACGGAAAATTTTTTCTAAATGTTTGCGCTTTCCTTTGAAAAGGTCCACTCAATAAGTTTTTTTAGCAATTTCTGGTCAGCTCTTTTAGTTTGATTCATCCTCTTTGAGTTACAGTTGTTCTAAGTAAAAATTACTTTTTTTGGCTTTTTGACTTCCAGATCCTGAAACTAAAAACTTTAAGCTTCAGTTTGTTTTTTTTTGTTGCTCTACAATTATTTTTCAGTTACAGCCTGAAATTTTAAGATTTTTTTGTAACCTTTAATTTCTGTGACTACTTCATATCTTACAGGTAAGTGCAATGTAAACGGGGATATTTAAGTACCTATATCGTTTATGCTACATGACTTAAATTTGACGATTCCAATAGGTATCACGCATTTTAGGCGAATCATTATATGTAGCTTTTTTCCGGAAAAAAATACTATTAGAAGTTTTTCTGCGGAATATTGTTCAGAAACGTGTTATAAACAAAATATCAAAAAATCTACTCGAGACTAGTTGGGAAACTTTGTTAAAACAATGGTCAAAATTATGAAAAAGTAGTTTTTCGACTGGCGTAAAAAAACTGTTATTCATAGAGAAAAAAAGGTTTATACAAAAAAGGTAGGTATTAAATAAATCCGTAAAAATGGTCGAAATTGTCCGCTTTTTTTCAATTGCTAATAATTAATGCAATTTTCATCGCAGACACTTGTAATTCAGGATTTTTGAAGCTTTTTGCACCCTTAATAAGTGGTAAAAATTTCAGCCCAAAAACTTCATTAGCTTGGCGTTGGCGGAATTTGTTATCTAAGAAGATGCTATTTTCAATTCATTTTTCCCAAGCTCACAGGCGTTGTAGGGTTTCGATCATTAGTTGTTTTTGTACCTAAATAGTTGTATTGACATATGCATTTACTGATAATTTAATTTTTCAAATTTAATTTGTTTAAAAATGACTGAAAAAATGTTAATATTTATTACATCGTTAAGCGCGCATGCTAAGCCTCGCCTTCCCCACTCGTTCGCTAGACCAAGTAATAGAACGCATCGCCGCTATCTTCTTTTTCGAAATTAAATAGTTGAATTCACCTTAATGTTAATGTAGGACATGAAAATATAGCTCTTAATGTATACTCTCTCCAAATTTCGGCTCTTAATATTAATAATTAAGGTCACTGCGATTAAATAAATAAAAAAAATTATCTCAGCTTCTAATCAACTTACAACAACGATTTTTTTTTAAATTCGAAGAAAACTAAAGTAAAGAGGTTACTATTTTATTTTATAATAATTACCTATCTTAACAATTTAATAAATATTAACATTTTTTCAGTCAATTTTAAACAAATTAAATTTGAAAAACTAAATTCTCAGTAAATGCCTATGTCAATACAACTATTTAGGTACAAAAACAACTAATGATCAAAACCCTACAACGCCTGTGAGCTTGGGAAAAATGAATTGAAAATAGCATCTTCTTAGATAACAAATTCCGCCAACGCCAAACCAATGAAGCTTTCGAGCTGAAATTTTTACCACTTATTAAGGGTGTAAAAAGCCTCAAAAATCCTGAATTACAAGTGTCTGCGATGAAAATTGCATTAATTATTAGCAATTGAAAAAAACGGCAATTTTCGACCATTTTTGAGCTCTTGTGCATAAACAAATTATCGGAATTTAATCGGACTTTTTTCATTTTATAGGCTTATTTAATACCTACCTTTTTTGTATAAACTTTTTTTCGCTATGAATAATAGCTTTTTTACGTGAGTCAAAAAACCACTTTTCCATAACTTTGACCACTGTTAAAACAAAGTTTCCCAACTAGCCTCGAGTTGATTTTTTGATATTTTATTTATAACAGGTTTCCGAACAATATTCCGCAGAGAAACTTCTAATAGTATTTTTTTCCCGAAACAGGCTCTTTCATGTCTATAATGACTGGGCTATTTGAACATAATTCTATCCTTAAAAATGCCGCTTTTGAATCAAGACTGCCGTCCGCATTGACAATTTCACGTTGTCAATGCCAAATTTAATTGCACGACTGTGTAAAAGTTCACTGACTCTATCGAGAACATACACGGTTTGGTTCTATTTTAATGTGACCGTTTTCCACCTCCCTATCTCTCTCTGTTCGCTTTTTAAACACTTGCATTTTTGCGGAATTTCACGTGAATTATTTTAAAAACCGGAGCGCGTTCGCGTTACTGAAATATTTCAGTTTAAAAAAATTCCTTACGCTTCTGTCGGAATATTTCGCATCAGTAGATGCGAAATAACCACGTGGAATTCTCTTGGTGTTTGGCAAGGTGTACAACATTTGTGTCAAACCGAACAATTCACAAAATTCTATTTTCATGTAACGTAACAGAAATTATTTCCACGCATACCAGTGCCTGCCAAAAATAATATAGGTACGCGCATTCAGTTTATACTTTTCTTATAGACACTTTTAGACAGGATTGTGCGATGTAATTTAGATTATTTTCGGAGAATTAAAGAAATAAAACAAGCGACAGGCGACATATTTTTGACATTCGACATGTGTCAAATGTATCAATATACATTCGAGGTAACTAAGCAACTATTATAAAAACAAAGCAATAATGTGACAACTATGTCAAGTTCATATTTAGACGAAATAAAAGCCTACTATTTAGGCTTAACGATTTAGAACATAAATAATATTGGTAATCAGTCTTACTGGTACAGTATAGTAGAAGTGCAAATCTCAATTGTTAGATAAATGATTTATTTTAATACCTAAAGAGAATATTCATATTCATTCGACAACCTTTACAACCTGTTCCAAAATGACAAATTAGCATTCTTTTAGATAGTCTTGTTCTGTATAAAGGACAATTTCGATTTCCCCCGAGGCCCAGCTCCTATTTTAAAGGACAAAGGCGAAAGTATCAGCGTATTAAGGGAGACGTTAAATATAAGGGGATAAGCTATTGTCACAGCAACAATAGACAGGGGTTGATTTGACACCATGGGAATTGTATGATGACATTCTCGTTGTATCACTAACTACGCCCAATTGATAAAAAAAACAACTCAATGTACAATTTATAAGGCATAAAATACAAATTTCTCATACTAAATCGTTTGCAAACGTAGCTATTTTAATTTCTATTCATAAAGGAATATGTAACCAGCTACACTAGACTATTCATTCATATTTTTAATATAAATCTGATCACCAAAATATTTTAAAATTAAAATAGAAATTCCCGAGAGGCGTTGATTTATCAAAAGGTAGAAAATAACCGTTGACCTAAAACGAAAATACCCCTCTAGAAATAACCCAAAAACAAAAACAAATACAGCGGAAACATCAAAAATCCATTCCACACATTTAAATGCACGCAGAAACAGGAAGAGGAATGACTAATTGAATGAAGAATGAACTTAAGTACTGCCTGAGTTAACCATGCATTAAAATTAATTGGTAAACATTTTATTTAACATAGACTATAAAATCGGTCTGCTATATTCTGCAGTTGCAATGGATGTGAGAGTTATCTGCGGTTCAAGCGAATTGTCTGCGTGGAAATGTAACTTACAAGGGAAGTAGAAACACAAAAAGAAGAAAAATAACGCAATTAAATACAACATGTGTGTACTGAATACGGAATAAGTGTTGCTTGTAATTTTATACAGTAATATTCTCAACGAAGCATTAAATTCGCTTTTTCACCGTTAAATCGTCGTAAAAATTTACCCAAGTCCAATAATACAAATTCTAGTAAATATCCGCTCACATGCGACAGGATTTTTTACCAAAAATTACTTACAAGAGGGTAAACATTCACCTAAAGTAAAAAATAAAACTTTGATTGCTGAAGCACTAGGTTGGAATAATTACAATATGACTCACCCATTTAACGACGATTACAGAGCAATCCAATGGAGTTTTGAACACATTTTCACACACGAAACTGCAAATAATCGGTAAAGTTTAGCACAGATGCAGCACAATCGAACTCCTGTTTAGACTGCCATTTTAGCTTTTTTTTGATTTTTGACAGTTATTGTTCATTGTGGAACGCCTGGTGGCAGCTTTCATAACTACGACTGGTAACGGTTCCTTTGTTTTTGTAAGAAATGCAGCCAGTCCTATGCAACTCACCGTACAGATCACTGTATTACGGGTTGCCTATTATACGAGCTATAATTTAATGTTTGATATACAAAATTATATTATAAAAAAGAAATTGTTAAACTTTTAAAAATATAATATATTACATTTCCCTTGTTTAAACAATTACGTCTTATATTATATGATCTTGTTACATACGTTACTGATTAATAGATAGGTAACTACAGTATTACAATATTTAAATGACCATATACTGGTTTACAGGCTAAATAGGTACTTTGCAATTTTAAATTTATTTGTATTCAGTTGTCCATTTCCTCTGCTAGAGTTTCAGTGACTTCTTCTGTTGTGTCTGAAGCATCTTCAGTAGGTGCTTCAGTGATAACCGTCGCAGTTTCATCAGTAGATGCGCTTGTGGTAGTCATTGCATCATTAACTGCGGTTGTAGTTGGCATTGTAGTAGTCACTGAAACACATGTTTCACTATTAGTATTTAGCATATAGTTTATTAAATCTTCTCAGAAACTTACTTCGCGGATGTTTTTTGAACACAACAAGCCACAAGCAAGGGTGAATCTGACCCTGCTCATGTCTGTTCAACGAAATGGTTCCTTCCTAGAACAATATTACTATATTACCTTATGTAAAATTTGTTATTTAACTGTATATTGCAAAGCAAAACCATTGTAATCTAGGTATTAATTAATTAATTATTAAAAGAAAACTGAAAAAGTGTATCCTGCAAAAATAAAATCAAGAGATTTATAAATATTAAAATGGACCATAGGCGGAGGGGGGAATTAATACTAAAACCCCCGGAATTTCAGTGTCACTTACTTAAAATATGTTATAATTGTAATGCAACTAGGTATTTTTCACACAATTAACTTACACTAAATTCTAGAATAGTACCCACTACAACTAGATACACCACTGCTCGTAGCATTCTGACAGAATATAGTAAGTTTCATCCACAGATTCACCAATACAAGTAAATAAAACCTAGACGACATGGGGACTATTGGGTCATTACTAAAATTCGATCATATCTGCTTTACCCAGTTATTTGCTGAACCAAGGTAATATTTCCATTATAAAAACCAATTATTTGTAAATTAGGGCAGCATTTCGAACAGTTTTATTGCAGATAACAATGGATCTATAACTGCGAGAGTAATGTTTCCTCTGTGTAAATGCAACAAATCACATTAATGAGGTCTCATTAGGGAATGATACGCACAGCGTCATAAATAAACTAGTTGATGCAATCCTAGATATTGCATCGGAATTAAATGGTCGCATGGAAATTGGAATCCTGTGAAAATAACAATACATTATTTTGAATGGTATTCAGCGAATTCATATTAATTATAAACATTTTGCTCATCAAAGAGGGTGTTTAATGACGAACTATAGATCCCGTAATTACAAGCAAGCACGGAATTATTAACTTATGGGTTCATCGTGATATGCAGGCCTATTCGAGGGTGGTCTGAAAAGTTTCCGACCTCAACATGAAGATGGCAGCACTCGTAAATAAAAGCTAGTGAACTTCGTTACTCACCAAAGTTTCAGCCATTTTGGAGTCCAAAATTTGGACGCGCAGTTGTTATGTAACAGTCGTTTGAGTGAGTTGATGTGATGTGTTGTTTTTATGAAAATGGACAAAATCGAGTATCATTAAATATTTGTTTTTGAAAGGCAATTCGCCTACGCAAATCAAAGATGAGTTGGATTCTGTGTATGGGGACTCTGCACCATCATTTACCACAGTGAAATTTTGGGCAGCTGAATTTAAACGTGGCTGTAAGAGCTTGGGAGACGATGAACGTTCGGGACGTCCAAAAACTGCAACTACCGGCGAAAACATCGCCAAAGTTCACTAAATGGTGCTAGACGACCGCCGAATTAAAGTGAGAGAGATCGCAGAGGTTATGAACATGTCAAAAGAACGTGTTTGTCACATATTAAATCAACATTTAAACATGAAAAAGCTGTCCGCGCGTTGGGTGCCGCGTTTGCTCACGTTAGACCAAAAACGTGTTCGAATGAACATTTCGAACGCTCTGTTGGCGCAGTTTAGGCGCAAGAAATCCGAGTTTTGGCGTCGATTAATTACTGTAGATGAAACTTGGATACACCATTATACGCCCGAAACAAAAATACAGTCCAAACAGTGGACTGCAAAGGGGGAACCGGCTCCAAAAAAAGCAAAAACTGTTTTTTCGGCTGTGAAAGTGATGGCGACTGTTTTTTGGGATAGTCATGGAGTTATTTTAATCGATTATCTTCAAAAATGAAAAACCATTACAGGAGCATACTACGCATCATTACTTGACAAGCTGAAGGCAGAACTTGCGGAAAAACGGCCACATTTGCAGAAAAAGAAAATCCTGTTTCACCAAGACAACGCACCGTCTCACACCTCAGCGGTTGCCATGGCGAAAATCCACGAATTACGGTTTGAACTGCTTGACCATCCGCCTTACTCACCAGATCTAGCCCCAAGCGACTTCTTTTTGTTCCCTTATCTAAAAATTGCGCTCGGAGGACAGAGATTTTCTCTTCAAATGAAGAGGCAATCACCTTCGTGAACAATTATTTTGCAGAGAAAAACGCCGAGTACTATTTGGACGGGCTGCAGAAATGGGAGCATCGCTGGGAGAAGTGCGTAGAGTTGCAAGGACACTATGTTGAAAAATAAAAAAAAAATCTGAAAAAATGTCTTGTATCTTTGTTAGGTCGGAAACTTTTCAGACCACCCTCGTATTTCAATTTCATTAAAACTTATTTTGACTAACGTAGGAACCATTTCGGGGAATCAATGTATTTTTAATACTCATATGCTATTGGCGGCCAATAGACTTTCAGAATTCCAAAATATACTTGATTTTTTTGCCACACTTTGCAGTTTTGATTTGGCAATAAAATTATAGCCGCTTACATTTTTAAGCAGTTTCTACGAATTAACACAAATGTTGTCTTGCTTCACCATAAATTAAAAATATATCCATCAACTCCGATTTGCTATACACGTAAGCCATTTTTGACACTTGGAAAACTAATGTAAACACTATCGCAAAAACGTTAATACTAAAATCGGATTTCAAATTCGGAATCGTCTGGGGTCACGTGGAGAAAGAACATCGTGTACAGCGCACAACGCGAATGACTCTAGAGACTACAGAAGCCCAGCGATGTAGGGGTTGAAAATACTTCAACATTTTTTTTCTCGGAAACTATAAGGATTTTACAAAAAATGTTTTTATGATATTGCCTCCATTTTTCATGATACATCTATTCCCAATTTTTATTGGATAAGTTGTGAATCACCCTGTATCTTATTATTGGTTTTCCTACTTCTACTCTATTACAAAGGTTTTAAGCTGACTCAAATAAGTTAAAAAAATCCAATCAAATGAAATCAAACAGTGTTCTTTGAGACCAAAATTTTGGGTATGCAAAAAAAATATCTAACCTCACGGACATTTTTGACAGAGCAACACCTAAAAATGGCTACTATAAAACGATTTTACTACTTCTACAATTTACTAAGGAGTTTTTCTTCGGATAGCATACCTAAATTTACAGTAATAATTGTTTTTTTTTTAATTTTAACCTTTATAATACAGTAAAATGCGATAGCTAAAAATAAACTGGTTATATGAAAAACAATTCACGTTAATCAAGTCTTTGTTGATATCTATATTTCGTGTTGGTATTTCCAAAGTAATGCGAAGAAACTAATTGTCCTTGCTCGCCTGACTAATTTTGTGCGGACACCCGTGGATCTTAAAGGCATTTTAAATTTTTCCTGTAGTAACTAGTTATATCCATGTACAGTGTGTATCGAAAATTGTCACTCTTTATAAAAAGTTCTGTCTCTCGAAAAAATTAGACTGTCATACAAACATCTTAATGCATACTACATGAATAAAAATATATATAATTTTCAATTAAAAAGCTGTGTTATTTGGAACACCCTTTATATTCTGTTCAAAAATCAAGGCAATGTTATGAGCAGCGTCAGCAACAAACTAAAGATGACAATCTATCTATTCTTAAAATATTCTAGATTCCTTATAAATCGTTTTAGGACTAAATATTACCCCTGATTTTTTCATGCATTTTGTCGAGAGTTATCATTTATCAAACATTAAAATATGTAGCTACGTCTATGTTACACCCTGTATTCATCCATTAAGAAAAATCTTAGGTTGGAGATCAATGAAGAATAACAAATTTACTCCAACCGTAACCACGAACTTCTCTGACATCAGCAAAAACTATTAAACATGTTAATTGATAATGGGTATGGTTCTGAAATACTGCGCCATCCTGCGGATGAATTAAAATTNATTTTTATCAATACCTACATCATACATTGAAGTAAATACAGTAACGCAAAAAACAAATGTTGATAAAAAAGTGTACAAAAGAAATCCGTAAATACGCCTGGCAACATTACCAAATTCTTGTTTATATGTTGCTAGGATACGCTTAGATATGCGGGCCGCTGTATTTGATTCTTCCTAAAATTCTGCTGGTGGTGTACTCTACCGGCAATTCGGAAATTTAAAACTGCTGGCCTATTCCAGGAGCGGTCTGTGGTGATATCTATTTTGTCTGTGGATCCCGTAATTACAGGCAAGCACGGAATGACCAACTTCTGGGTTCATCGTGATATGCAGGCCTATACGAGGGTGGTCTGAAAAGTTTCCGACCTCAACATGAAGATGGCAGCACTCGTAAATAAAAGCTAGTGAATTTCGTTGTTCATCTGTTGACAAGTTACTCACCAAAGTTTCAGCCATTTTGAACGCGCAGTTGTTACGTAACAGTCGTTTGAGTGAGTTGATGTGAGTGCTTTTATGAAAATGGAAAAAATCGAGTATCGAGCTGTCATTAAATATTTGTTTTTGAAAGGCAATACGCCTACGCAAATCAAAGATGACTTGGATTCTGTGTATGGGGACTCTGCATGATCATTTACCACAGTGAAATTTTGGGCAGCTGAATTTAAACGTGGCTGTAAGAGCTTGGGAGACGATGAACGTTCGGGACGTCCAAAAACTGCAACTNTACCGTGTGATATTTTTAATCTGAAACTTTGTAATATCTCGAAAAATAAGCACAACACGAAAAAATGTTCAAAACCAAAATGTAATCATTCCATGAAGGAAATATATTAGTTCTAAAATTAGTCCCTCTCCCCTTCCTTGTAGGTGCTTATTTTTCGACATATTTGAAAGTTTCAGGTTATAAAATCACCCGTTATAAAGAGAAACGAAATCAATGTACTGGGAAATAGTTAAGGAAGTAAGTGCAGGCGGTAATTTGTTCAACAATTATAACCGGAACTCTGCTACATACGTCTAGATAATTTTTTGATCATGATTCCAATCAGGCCCGGTCTGGCCAGGTCGGGAAGTCGGTAAAACCCGACTTATTTTGGAAGATAAGCCCCCAAACGACTAACGAGGTGCAAAAGTATAAGAAAATTTCGTGTAAATTTTTGAGATATAGAAACGTAGAAATGAAAATTTAATGAAATTTAATACAGCTTTCTTTAACCCAAAAAAGATCAGTGTTCCGTGTGTAGTGCCTATAAGAATACAAATCCCGAGAAGAGAACAGAAAAAATGGAAGATGATTGTAATAATCATAATTTAAACAAAATCGCGGTTCGAAATCTGAAAGACATTGATAAAGAATTGTCGAAAAATGATAAATCTCTAATAACAGCATGCTTTGATTTGCAGAAGGTGTTAGTAACGCCCAAGTCAGAAGTCAGCGATTTTTATTATAAAAGTAAAATCGCAACATACAACTTTACAATTTATGATTTAGGCAGCAATCAAGGCTATTGCTATGTATGGCATGAGCAAATATCGAAGAGAGGACCGGATGAAATTGGAAGTTGTTTATGGATCTTTTTAAAAAGTGTTAAAGAAAATGGCATACGAAAGGTTATTCTTTATT